CCTTAGCGTCCTGCCATCTGTCCTTCAGTAGTCCAGAGCTGAATGTCCAAAAGAGACCATGAGAAAGCACAAGACCTTAGAGAAATAAGAGTTTTACCCACTGGGGGAGATTAAAGGTTTACAGATATTGGCCCTGGGTAGGCTAGCCACCTTTGATAGATTATTTTTTCTTTTCTCACAGGGCCAGCTTATCTCAGACAACATGGCCTTTCTCCCGCTTCTCCACCCTCATCCTCTAGGGTGCTGCTAGACTTACAGCTTGACTAGTCTGAGGTTTTTCTTTCACCTCCTGAATTGTCTCTGAGCTTCCATTTGAACCCATTCTTTCATTAACTAGATTTTGAACCCATTCTTTCATTAACTAGATTAAGAACCCCAAGAAGGGACTTTGCTTTCTTGGGTATCATATGATGGCTCCTCCTGAACATCCAGGGATGTCTAGTAACACTTTTTGCCTTTTACTTCTTTGTTAGGTGGACAAAAGAACTTTTTTCCTGCATCCTCAGATGGCCCTGTGGGCCCATGACAGCAGGGTCCTGAAGACCCTGGGGGAATCTTTGCTATGTACGGAGACAGCAGGGCTTACTGAGACTCTTGTGAGCCAAGAGGGACCCACTCTGGAGGTCCTCTAAATGAATGGTGACCAAGACCAGGGGCAACATCTGAAGACCCTAGGCTCAGCCCAGGGACAGGACACTTTCCCCGATGAAGAGGCTGTTCTGCAAAGCTACACAACTCCACTCCCCTTCCTTCTGTCCACCGACCCATCTTGCACAGCAAGGTTCCCACGGTGGGAGCAGCTACAGTACTGGGGTTATCAGCACAGCATGAGTGGAAAGCTCAGGACACAACCTTGTAGTTGCTACAAAAATGCTGGAAGCCAGTGCAGTTGACCTTGTGCCCGCTGAGGCCCAGGAGCCTGGGGACCACTTTCAGAGGTCCTTGAGGAGAGGAGACTTCAGAGCGTCCTGCTTAAGGGCTTGGGAGCAAAGCTGCTGCAAGTGGAAATGGGGAGATTCAACGGGAACTTAGTGCAAATAAACCCCCTGGTTCTGTCCGAGGGAAGGAAGGGGCGGGGTGGGGGGGACCCTCGAAAGACACACAGATGTAGTGACAAATAAACTCCTGCAGAGGGCGCCAAAAGCTAGAAATTCCACTGAGCAAAATTTAACCTTCTGTTTGCTGTTAATTTTTATTAATTTCATTTAGAGAAGGTGGCGTGTACCACTTTTCAGTTTTTCTTTTCCTTTTTACCTATTTGTTTGTTTTTTTTTTGCTGACGCTAAATTCACACAGCATAAAACAAACCATGTTGGCACTTAAGACATTCACAATGTTTTTCAACTAGCACCTATGTCTAATCTGAAAATTAGTGTCTTAAAAAAAAAACCTAGAAACCATTATGCAACTCAACCATTCCACACCCATTTCCATCCCCCCCCCCTTACCACACCATCCTAGCTGAATCCCTACAAGCCTCTGCCTTTTATGCTCTTAGACTTAAGCTTTCCAGCTGAGGCTCCTGACTGGCAGGAGCCTCTGGACCATGCACCACCATGGTTGGTGTAGTGCACACAGACCTGAGACAACAATAAAAGAGGGCATGCTCTGACCCAGTTCCTGTGGGCCTGGGGGGAAGCAGACTAGACAGTGGACCCCTTAAAATTCTGGCATTTGAGAGGTAGAAGCCGGAGGATCAGGAGAACCTTTTTTGAAAATAACTTTAAATAAATGATTTAAAAATGAATTCATTTTTAACTGGCATATTAAGATTATACATAATAATGGGTACCCCTGGTGTTGTGATATTGTACATGTGTGTAACATCTAAATTAGGGAGAACGCCTATCTCCTCAAACATTTGTGGTATCTCTTTTTAAAAGGAAATGTTATTTATTATAAATTACGTGAATGTGTGGGTGAGTAACAGTACACACAGAAGCCAGAGGTGTTGGAGCCCCTGGAGCTGGAGTTAAAGGCGGTTGTGAGCTGCCCATCATGTGTCCTAGGAACCTTACTTGAATCCTATGGAAGAGCAGCAAGTACTCTTAACTACTAACCCATCTCTCCAGCCCTGTCCTACTGTTCCTGTCTGTAATATGAACAGATCATCTGTAATCTGTACAGATCGTCTGTAATCTCTACAGATCCTCTGTAACCTGTACAGATCCTCTGTAACCTGTACAGAT